GTCCGGAGGATATCACAAGATATGAAAAGTGGACAGTGTCAAGGTGATACAGAAAATAAGTATTCCACAACATTGACCAAATACTTATTTTCCACCATTATTTGCAAAAAAAATTCTTTAAAAGTCAGACAAAATGATTTTCTCAAATTTTTTTTCACATTTTGTCTCTCATAGTTGAGGTCTACCTATGATGTCAATTACAGGCCTCTCTCATCTTTTTAAGTGGGAGAACTTGCACAATTGGTGACTGACTAAATACTGATTTTCCCCACTGTACTAAACTAACATAAAGAACCAACAAATGTACAGAAGAACTCGTTCTTTCTTTTTGAATCCAAACGAGGGAGAGAAGTTCAAAGATCAGTTTCCAAAGCAGACCACTACATTAGAACCTAACTGTACCTGAACATCTCTGTGGACTGCTGCAGTCATGTTGTCTTTCTGTTGAAAGAAATAAAAACTTCAAGTTCATCATTTTCCGAGCTCTTCAGTCACTTTTTTAAATTCAGTTCAGGTTTATTGTTAGCGGCACCAACAGGTTCTGATACAGGCAGTGGTAAAAGGAAATCTGTATTCTTACTTTCAACAGAGCCACAAGGAGTTTAGCAAAGTCTCCACTGGTTTCTGCTTTCAGCTCCTTCTCCAGGTCTTTCTTGTACCCTGCAGAAACCCAACACAAACCATGGTCTGACTGGATCTGGGCTCAGCAGTGCAGAGAGCTGAAAGCACTCACTTTGCTTGTAGGCATCACTGATTTCCTGAAGTCGTTTCCCAGATCGAGTGCACAGAACCTCCAGGAGGGTTTCCTCATCAGTGCCCAAACCCTACAGCAAACACACAAACATAGCAGCAGTGCTGGGATCATGATCCTACAGACTCACACAGACTCACACAGACTCACCACCATGGCCTGCTGCAGCCGCTGAGCCTCCAGATGTTCTGGGAGCATCAGCAGCTGCAGCAGCAGATCCTGCAGGTCTCCAGACAGAACCTTCTTCAGAGTTGTGCTCAGGTCCTGAAATGACAGAAAAACAACCAGTACACTTTGTTAACACACACKGTTAGTGTTAAAGGGCTGTCAGGATCTGCAGAGCTGTACTCAGGTCCTGCAACARTACACAGATCTGTTCTGGAGGGTTCCTGAGGTTCTGAGGTTCTRCAGAACTAAACAGCTCTTTGTAATGAATGATCTTCATCTCCTGGTGTTTTATCTTTTTATCCTCTGTCCTCAGGTGTCCTTGTCTGTGCCTCCTACATCTCTGGAGAGAGGCGCTAAAAAGACAGCAGACTTTGAAAAAAACATTTTCACTTCTTTTTTTGCTCATGAAAATGTAAAAAGTGAAAACGAGACTGAAGTTCCTGAACCAAACCCTGTCCTCCCTGTGACTGTATCTTGAGTTCTTGTCCACAAACAGGATCAGGATCTAGGACTGACCTGATGGAGTCCAACCTGCACCACATGCCAGCTCACCTTTGTGGCCACAGCTATGCTTTGATTCTAGGGGGACCAGATAGATCTTAAAGAGTCCCTCAAGGCTCAATTTTAGACCCTCTTGTTTTCTCTATAGCTGCCACTCTGTTCTGTTTCCAGAAAGCATGGTCACAGATCAGATCTATGTCCCTCTCAGAGTCAAATGCATACTCAATGGTCTCACTTCTCAGGTGTCTTGAGGACCTGAAGGTCTGGATGGCATTACATGAAACCAAGCCTGAGGTTATGGTTTTTGGAGGTCCTGCTGTCCACTCACCCTCTGAAGACCTGAATTGTTGGTGAGGAATCTGGGAGTTGAAGTAGATCCTGAACTTAAATTAGACAGCCACATTAGGTCAGTTGTTGGGAGGTTTTATCATTTGAAGCAGCTAACCAAAATAAAACCCATCATTCCAAAAAGACGTTTTGAGACAGTGATCCATGACTTCATCACCACCTGCACTTTATCTGGGGTTAGAGGGTCCTCCATCGCCCGACTGCAGAGGGTCCAACATGCTGCAGTGAGGCTTTAACTGGTACATGTAAATATGAGCACATTTCTCCCATTTTAGCTTCACTCCACTGGCTGCCTGTGCCTTTTAGGATCCATTTTAAAATACTTTTATTTGWTTTTAAATCTTTGAAAGGCCTTGCCTCTTCATACCTGTCTGACCTGCTGCAGCCCAGTAGTTCCTTGTGTTCCACTGATCCATGGCCCGGACCCTGAAGTGGGATCTCATGATCACTGGAACAGACTCTCCAGTCTCCTTTTTTAAATACTTGGACCATCACTCTGGTTAGGGTTGGCTAACCACATTTTAATGACCTCTGACCTGTCCTAATGGACATGCCTTCCCATCCTCATTCTCTGTCTTCTCAAAGGTGGACATGCTAAATGCAGTCATGTCCTCAAAGATTGTTTTGTCCCTGCTGTCCCAACGGTATTCCCAGTCCCAGTAAGCAGTTTCTACCTAAACCAGTCTGGGGTGGGCCTGATTTCCTTTTCAGAGTATCTGAACAGTTTGTCAGAACCTCCAACCAAAACTAATGAAAGTACTGCAGAAGATAAACGTGGGAGTGTGACGAGAGGACAGCATAAATTAACAGAGAACAGAAACTTGAAGTTGAGTAGAGAACATAGTGACAATAAATGTACGGTTAGGTCTGAAAAGCTGCTCTCATCCTGTACACACAGGTGTGTTTCATTAATATTTGATCAGCAAACAAAGCCTTGTTGTGTAACAGGTTGTTAAAGGAGGCTGCTCCTTGTGTCTTTACCTTGTCTGTTATCTCCTGGAAGGTGCTGGCAATCACCTGTCTCTGAACGTTGGTCCGATTCGTTAGAATTCTTACCAGAGTCACTGCGTCTGAGCAAAGTACACAAAGTTTCAGCCACAAGTGAARTAAAGAAAGCAGAGTCAAACTCTCAGCAGGTTCAGGTACCTTTCTTCTCCAACGCCGACTGGATCTCCTTCACATCCTGCTCTGGGTGGAAGCTGGGGTAGGCTCGAATGGTACCCAGAGTCCCCCACCACATGTCCTGAACATGTGAGAGCACACACACACACACACACACACACACACACACACACACACACACACACACA